GTCCACTGAAGGTGCCGCCATGAAGCTGTTGTTCGTGTCCGTTGGCGCGGTGGCTGCCATGCTCCTGATGCTGGCAGAGGTTGAGGTAAGAGGAACAGGAACCCCCAACGCTGGGCTTATCTATGACATTTGCAACTGGAGAGGTGCAGAAGAGTAGCTGCAGAGGATTGCAATTTTGCATGAGGACCATACACATGCAGGTTAATAGTAGCCGTTTTACGACGGCCATGTGGTACACGTTTGGTGCAGACTAGGTGCAGATCTGGTGTAGAATTGGTCAAATTAGGTTCATTGTGTTTCTTAAAGTTATCAGTTTGGGTTCCACAGATGATTACATACCTCATTTTTGGCATTATCAGACATAATTTTCGATTAAAACACAAACGAATTAATCATATAAAGACATTAGTTGTGAAAGAGATTTGGTGAAGAATTTGGTCAAATTAGGTGCATTGGCCAGATAGCCCGTCGTGAAAACGGTTAATAAAAACTCTTTCGTCGCTTTTATTTTCAATCAGTCAAATGAGAAAAGGGAACGGGAAGAGTGCGAAGAGTGGGACTGACCCGGCCCCTGGACTAGGGATTACAGCGGAGGTCCATTTGATATCTAGTTATAGCCCTGAGTATAATCGAAAGGCCACTTGATATCGCCATATGTGGAACAACCACTCCAAACCAATCGAAGTTAACCATTTGATGCTATTTTCCAGCTGTCTGGAGCCCGCTCAGCCCCATCACCGGCGATTCGAGAGCGTCGAAGTGCAAACCCAGAGGGAGTCATGGACAGTGACCAGGTGACGGACGAAGAACTCATCGACTTCATCCAGCATAGCAATATGACTCTCGAGGAGGTCTCGAAGCGTCTGGATGACATGGAAGACATGGAAAACGAAAAGTCTGGTTCGTTGATATTTGGCTCCGATGGAACATTCCAGGAGTTAGTAAGAAAGATGAGAGAAAGGTTCACGAACCTCGCGGAAAGAGTGCGGGAAATCATCAGAACGCTTCGCGGACAAGCAGGCGGAGATCCGACGACCACGGCCTCCTCTGCCGACCCGTGATGAGGTGACCTGCTCACCTCAGGTCACGACATGACCTCCTGGTTTGGCGACCAGGCGATTCGCTGACCTCAGGTCGCGGGGTCACAGTCCACAGGCCGCCAAACGGGGGCGGTACGACAGCTGCGCCGGTCCGATGGTGTCCGACCATTCGGTTTGCTGATTGTCTAAACTGAGCCTGCGACGTCTCCCTTCGTATAATCAATGTGTTTGATAAATGTGCGCCACCCTGCCCTGCGGCCTGCACCTAACTAACCTAACCTAACCTCCACCAGAAGCGTAGGCACAGTGTACTGTGTAGTAGTTGTGAAGTATTTTCTGCTTGTAGATCGTCAATACAAAAGTTCCACCCTTCATGTTCTGTATTTCGGAGTAATTGGTTCTTAGATCATGCTTAGCAAAGTAGAAGGTAGCGTTGAACATTTTGACGTCAAACGCATAATTCTCGACCACTAGTGGCAAGAGGGAGAGAGAGAGAGAGAGAGAGAGAGAGAGAGAGAGAGAGAGAGAGAGAGAGAGAGAGAGAGAGAGAGAGAGAGAGAGAGAGAGAGAGAGAGAGAGAGAGAGAGAGACAGAGAGAGAGAGAGATAGAGAGAGAGACGCGGCCTCTCTCTCGGTGTGACGTCACAACTCTCGGTGTAACGCGGCGCGAGGTCGGCCCGCGGCCGGCGACCTCCGTCTGTCCGACGGGCCCGCACCGGTACGCCGATTCTGTCCAACACAGGCATGCTGACCCTGCGGAACCCGCGGCTCGAGATGCCCCTGCCAGTCGGCCCGCGCTACCGTCGGCGAGTTATGGCCTCCGGCACCCCGAGGTCACGGTGGAGGGGTGGGTACCAAGGCTGACCCCACGACGAGCTTAGGAGGGGGACGAGCTTGCTGACAAACACCGTGGTTAGGGTAGCATTCATAAATGCAAACAACTTTTGGTTTTTCATTAACTCCTGGTCGCTCTTTGCAATACATACATACGCCTTGTGGGTCGTGGGATGTAAAAAGATGGATTTTATCATTAAATTGCACATTTCTGTATTTTTATCTTTGCCAGGGGCTTCATCACCGGAGGGGGGATTTTCGTGGGGTACGGTCCCTCTCAACAAGCTCATATCCGTAATACAGCTCAATAATGTACGCACGAGGGCGTGCATTTTTTGGTCGGATCCCCCAATCCTGAAATCGTAGCGGAGCCTCTTTGCACCCAGTCCCAGACTCTCGATCTCGGTTTTCTCGCTCTCTCCAATTCCATGTTTCTATCAGTTCCCTGCGACGCTGTATCACTACACACTCCCGGTGCACGCTGAATGGTATGTCAGCCGGCGTTTCCTGCACCGCGCTGCACCCATCTGTTACGTCACTGGCGGCGGGCACACACGGCGAGCCGATGAGCATCCGCCACGCCCCGGCACATCGCTGCAAGAGCCGCGCCATGCCACCCCTCCCGGCCCTTTGACCTTGGTGACACCCCCAAAATGTGTCACTTGTGTGGAATGGGGTCAACCATTCCATCGTGTCATTCGGCAATCAGTTAACGCTGCTGTACTGCTCATTTGTCTTCATCGGATTGAAAACTTGAGTCAAAGTGGTGCGGTTCAATAGGTTCTAACGCTTGTAACCAGGGCTGCGGAGTCGGAGTCGGAGTCGGAGTCGGAGTCGGTCGGAGTCGTCAGTTGTGACCGGAGTCGGAGTCGGAGTCGGAGTCGATTTTAGAAACCCGAGCCGGAGTCGGAGTCGGAGTCACCGAAAATCTGTCGACTCCGCAGCCCTGCTAGGTCTGCGGAGTCGGAGTCGGGAGTTGGAGTCGGTCGGAGTCGACAATTCTGCCCGGAGTCGGAGTCGGAGTCGGAGCTGGTTTTTGAAAGCCGGAGTCGGAGTCGGAGTCGGAGTCGCCGAAAATCCATCGACTCCGCAGCCCTGCTTGTAACAGTAGGCTTGGATTAACCCGCGCGGGGCTGGGGGGGTAAATTTACCCCCTCGCGACTTTTTGCAATATCTCAAAAACGGCGGCGCGCAGCGCCGCCAAACTTTCAGTACCCTTTCTTACATCAATTTGACACGTTCCCTGAAAATTTGAGCGAAATCCGTCGGAAAATTTTTGAGAAATTGACGTTTTAGTGACGTCATGTTCGCCATTTTCGCCTCATAAACGGCAAAAGTTCAAACGCCGCTAACATCTTCATTTTTAAAGTAATCAAGACGTAACAAAAAAGGATATACGTAATTTTACTTTGTCTATCAAATGGCTATCTCGGTTTTTTGAAAATTTTGGATTTTGGCCCAATTTTTTTCAAAAAACTGACTTTTTTGGGAAAATAGCTATAAAATCCAAAATTTTGAGTGTATCGAAAAAACCGGAATATATGTCAGAGAAGTGGTCTATGTGCACCTACATACCAAGTTTTAGAAGAATCGGTTCAAAAATGTGGGAGTTATTCAAAATTGTATGACGTCACGACACACAAAAATTTTGAAAAATGACTTTTTTGGAAGTTCTAGACCTCGTACGGAAACAAAAATAGCACCATTCGATTCGCCGTGAAAAACTGCATCAGATAGACACCTTTTTAGGCCTTAACAACCAACTTCAAAATTTGACCTCACTTGACCTGACCTTGACCTGACCTCGACCTGAAATTCATCCAGAGGTGGTCCATATCACTTATTGAGTGTGCCTATTGAATTCTATGAGTAAAATGACCCATAAAACATGTGTCGCACATGCCCTTTTCTATATATTTTGTTTTTGGTGACCTGACCTGACCTGACCTGACCTTGACCTTGACCTTTGAATGATATTGTATGCAACGAATATTGTCTTGGTAGCCTAAGAACACGTTTTGGGCGATCAGTCTCAGTCCATGACTCCATTCTTCGGCAACTACGGTGCAAGGCCGATACCGTAGGAACTTGCAATTTGTACCCTTGACCTGACCTTGACCTTGACCTCAAACTTAAAATTAAGTACATGTTTTTAGTTGTTCGTGATGAGATCTTTCGATTGGCGTTTGAATTTTCCAAATCAGACCATTAGTTCGGGAGATAACAGGGGGGTAAAATTTACCCCCCCCCCCAGCCCCGCGCGTTCGGCTGGAGACCCCAGCCCCGCGCGGGTTAACAGTTCCTCCCAACAGCCAGCATGTTTTGAAAAAAGTAAATTTTAACCAAAGAATACGACATCTGTAAGTATCACAGAGTCGGTAAATAGAACCATACATTCAATTGTACCACGCAATCATCTTATTCAAATGCAAGAACAACATGTGGCGATAAAGCCAGGCGCCTTAATTTGAGCTCCCAAACCCCACTCAGAACTAGGAAACATCGGGGATACTAACCAACTAGTGAGCCGCTGCCGTCTGTCAGTTACCGCCGCCAAAGTGCGCCATTATTGTCCCATCGCAGCGCCGTTGATCGCCGCAGGCCTGATCAGTGGCGGTGGAGAATTTCTGGCATGATGGCTCCGGGCCATCAGAGAGGGGAGGAGAACGAAGAGATGCTGACATTGCGCTAAGACACAATAAAACTTACTGTAGCAGTTACCGATTAAAAAGCATGTGGGAATTGAACGGCTGCACTTGCAAGCTTCCGCTCTTGAAACAAGCAATTAGCCACCAGTTCAAGAATAAGTATCTTAAATAGGAGGCTAACGTAATCACAACAGACGCGTTACAGCAGTTCAAGGTTGTGGGATCGTGCCAGCCTACGACTGCCGACAATGCACTCCGCAGGGGGCTGAGAGGGTCTGACAGCAGCCTTGATCGAAGGAGCCGGAGGAAGCCGAAGGGCGGCGTCAGTTGAACTCAACAGTGGCGGTCAGTCGGTGATCGGTTCGCGATCGGTCACCACTGCAACTGCTGTACTGGCCAGTCATCTCAGGTGGCCCCGAAGAGAAGGCGAGAGCGAAGAACCTCGCACTCATACATCGAACCTTTGCCGAGTGAAAGCGAAATAAACCCGCAGTGCTGACAGTACATCTGAAGAAGATAGTGGGACCGCTAAAGAAGACATCTGTGTCGGTAACAAGAGACGATTGTGAACAAATAGCCAGGCTCTTCATTCTTAAAGTGATTCAAAGCACGATCAAAGTCTGTAGTCGAACGATATCGCAGGACGCAGTGAACTTGTTTATCCATTTCTGCTTGGGCGGTTGACTTATAAATCGCCGAGGCGAATGGTTTCAAACCACACAGAGTTCTATCTGTTGTAGCCTACAGGAGGCAGACATATTGTAAACGAGAACAAGACAGTCACTGAAAAGAGCCAAGATGGCGGTCTTCAGCTCGGGCTACTGCAAGATCACTGGCCTGTCGAAGGCCATGCCGGAGTCTCACTTCATCCCGATAATGCCTGCGCTGTCTCAGAGCGAGCAGGCTCAGCTGTTCGGCTGCAAAATCACCATGGCGGCACACATGGACCACCACTACGTACCCGTTATCGAGTTCGGTAAGGGCAAGGGCCCGGGCGTGGTCGCCTGCAAGATCACCGGCCACCAGGCCGAGAGTGTGGCTCGATCGGTGCCGCTGCCTGAGGAGGGCGCTGAGGTGAAACGCGTGCATCGCTTCAAGAGGGACCTTCGCTACATGGAGCCATTTGTTAGTCGACTCGCCAATGCAGGCGAACGGGCTGCAATGGATGAACTGCTGGAGAAAATGCGCACCACCACGCAGCTGGACCCGGCGCAGTACTTTGTGTACTCACTTCACGACCGGCGCACGGGTAAGACTGGCATGGTTCTGTCGTACGAGTATGAAGAAGCGATCCGTTCAGGAGCGATTGAGAGCATCCTTCTCTCCGGCGACAGCAACAGCCTGGTCGTGCGTATCAAAGATGGCCCGATGTGTACTATTCCCATGGATAAAGTTGGCAAGATGCAAATTGAGCGTCTGTCGGAGGATGAGATGCTCTTCGACGGACGCGGTCCTGACCGTGAAATTATTGAACAGCAGCGACGTGAAAAAGCAGCGAGGGAGAAGGAAGACAGAGAACAGATGGCGGAATACCTTGCGGAGATGGAGCGAAAACGGAAGGAGCGCGATCTTCGCAAAAAGGAAAAGATGAAAGAAACAATGAAGCGGAAGATGGCAGAAGCGGAGGAGGCCGAAAAACGTCAAAAGGCGATGGATGAAGAGATCAAAAGACAGTACGAAGACGCTGCACGTATTCGTGCAGAGGCTGAAGCAGCAAAGGCGGCTGCTCGGGAAGCGATGCTCGAAAAACGAGCTCAAAAGGACGCGGAAGCCCGCGCCCGGCGCGCCGAGGAACTGGCCGAGCAGGCGCGGCTGGCCGAGGAGCAGCTGCAGCGCGAGGAGGCCGAAAGGCAGGCGCAGGAGGAGGCGCGCCTGGCGCAGGAGGCCGCCGCCGCTGAGGCGCTGGCCGCTGTCGACCCGCACGACATGTCCGTCAACGAGCTGCTCGAGCACATGCGCGAGAGGACAGAGGATGAGGCACTTTTGCGAGACATGGAAGAGGCGGCCAGCATCGGCATGTCATCAAAACAGCTCGCGGATATGGTTATCACTTCCACCATCGAGGCCATCGAGGAGGAGTTCGCTGAACCAGAGGAAGAAGATGAGGAGGAGGAAGAGGAGGAATCTGAAGATGAAGAGGACGGTATTGAAGATTTAGAAGTAGGAAAACCAAGAGATGACCAAGTGGATGCACAAACTGAAGGCATGACAGAAGAAGAGAGAAGAAAGGCCGAAGAAGAAAGAAAGATAGAAGAGGAGATGCTCCGACAGCTTCGCGAGGAACAGCTTGAAATGAAGCGCAAGGAAAGAGAAGCCAAGAGACTGGAGAGACAGCGTAAGCGTGAGGAGCTAGAACGCAAGGAAGAAGAAAAGCGACTCAAGAAGGAGGCCCGTGAAAGAAGAAGAGGGAGATGATGGAGCGGATGGCGGCCATTCACAAAGCAGACGCCGCCGAGGAGGCGGAGCGCATGAAGAAGCCAGAGAAGCGGGAAATCAAGCCTCGAGAGCTACTGCGTCGGAAACAAAGACCAGCGGATCTCCAGATTCCGCCAGCGGAGGCGCAGGCAGAATATGTTGTGCAGACCCCGGATGGCAAGGCTGTTCTGACGGAGGACGATCTAGATGAAAGTTCGGTTGTCGAAGGCAGAATTGCGTCCGACGGCACCGGCCGGCTGACGCCAGGCCGAACCGTCAAGACCGATAGCGGAATCGAGTTCATCGCCGGACGGGTTATCACCACCGATGGTGGTCAGGTGTTCGAGCCAGGTCAGGAAATTGACCTGCCCGTCGGCCCCAAGTTTATTCCAGGCCAAACAGTCGCGACAGCACACGGACCTCAATTTGTCGCCGGCAAGACAATCGGAGAAGGCGAAAATGTCGAATTCGTACCCGGCCACGTCGTCGATCTCGGCGAAGACAAGGGGGAGATCTTCGTGCCAGGTCAGGTTATGGAGACGGAAGACGGCCCCAAGTTCATCCCTGGATCTGTGTACCGTTGTCGACGAGCTGGGCCTCTGTTCGTTCCTGGCCAGATGCGAGAAGGCGAGTTCGTGCCAGGAAAGATTGTGGAAACGGAGGACGGCCCGCGTTTCATGTCACCGACGTTCCCAGGCCGCGAGGAGCAGTTCACGTATGTGGTGCAGAGCTTCGACCTCGAGCAGGCCGAGCTTGACCTTGTCAAATATCAGTACCATACTCCCGAGCCATCTCCTGTGTTCCAAGGGCAGGATATCGGCGAATCTATTAATCTGATGCAGCTTGCCGCCCGTGGATATCAGGCCAAAACGCTGCCGCTTCCAGAGCAGCGACCTCCGCCGCCAAAATCTAAGCGACAAATCTACGAGAATGTTCGAGTAACGTTCTTGGACTGCATCAACAGCGCAGAAAAGGCCCGCAATGCAGCTGCACCTCGATCGCTTGACAAAAGTGAGCTGACAATAGAGGCTCGAAGAATTCAGCGAGTCTTGGCGGATGATATAAACAACCCCCTTCCGCTTCCGGAGGTTATGAGCTTCCTCAAGAAATGTATGTCGCTCTCAGGACCAACCGTAGATATTGCGACATGGATTGATGGCTTGTTTGGAAACTGTGAAAAGGGTATCTTCAGACCAATGGAGCGAATGCAAGAGCGTAGGCTTTCGCGCAAAGTTTCACTGCAGAAGACTTTGACCGAAGTCGTGCAAGAAATGGAAACCGAACTACAGGAGGCACAAAAACGCGACATTGTGCTGAAAAACCTCACAAAAGTGATGAAGAAAGAACTTCCTCTCCGAACGCACGTTGATGATTATCGTGAGCGTTGGCAGGAAATTATCAGTGGTATCCTACTCACATATGGAAAAGTTGTCCTCAACGAGGTATTTGATATTGTGGCTTATCGAGACGACGAATGTGTTAAAACCATTCTCGACGACGTACGAGAAAGGGTCGCCAAACTGACAAACGATACGACCGCAGTAACTGTGCTAGAATACAGTATTTGCCAGTATGTTCAGCAAAAGACTGATGGAAGACTGGAAGAGCTTCTTACGACCGATGAAGACGAACCGACGCCCGGAAAGGACGGGCTCACTCGCAGGATACTACTCAGCGAAGGCTCCAGTCTCGCTCTTCTGGAAGATGACCTCGAGGTGGCCGAATGCATGCGCCAGTGTCTGGTCACTCCAGGGCTGATTAGTCTACTGCCGTTCTATCACAATGCCATGGAACTACTCCGCACTCTTCTCAACATCCATACGCTCAGTGAGGGAGACGAACAGCGCCAGTCACTGCTGGCCAACCTCGCAAAGAACCCCGGTCTTCTCTGCGACAACGAACTGTGGGTACAGCTTGCGTCCGGGGCGACGCTGATTACCCAACATGCAGCCAGCAAACCCCGAAGACTAAGCAGCGCTGGCTGCGTTCCAGATGAAGCTGTCGCACTGGTGGCCGAGTTCCAGTCCCCTGAAGTGGACAACATATTCCGTAACATGATCCTGGACGCGACACGTCACGTGCACGGCCTGACACCGGTCGACCAGAGCGCACTGCCGCTGATGGTGGTCAAGAGTCAGTTCGAAGGAATTCTACCGAGACATCTGGCTCGAGATGTCATCCACGGACGTCTGAGGTATCTTCTGGTGAATGAAGACACAGTGAAGCTTGTGACAACGGGAAGTGATGACGAAGAAAAGAAGTCGACGGCAAGGAAGACACCTGACACTAAGACTGTAACTGATGAAGAAACCACCGCGAAAACTGAATGCGTCGAAACAGTCGAAGATCAACAACATGTCGAAGAAGCAAATGAATGTAAGGATGCGTGTATATGCTATCCTGATGAAACTGAGAACGTGCCTCAAAATGATTCCGCTACCAGTGAACCAGGATTATTATCAAGAAGCGAGTCTCGCAAGGCATCTGCCACCACCTTACCGCAGGATACTGCAGGAACTGCTGTGACCGACGATGAAACACTGACAGTACCAGGCGACAGCAATGTGATGCTTCAGTCCGGAGAAACGCCAACAGATGAAACAGTAATCGAAGGAAATCAGAAACAGAATGAGGAACATGATGTTGAATGTGAAGAAAAGCCTGAAACTGATGACGTGAAAGAAGAAGTAGCCCCCTCAGAAGAGCAAGAACCTTCATCGCATCCTGCAGAGACTAGGGTCACTGATAATAAGGCAGACGCAGAACCAAAAGAAGTCGAAGTCGACAGTTCAAACAACATATCTCCAGCAGCTTGTCCCATTGGCGAGAGCTGTGAAGGAACGCCAGAAGATGGCCCACATGAAACAACAGGTAAAACTGAAAGCTCTATTCACCCAAAGCAGGAAACTCATCCAACAGAAGGCGCACCCGAAATGCAGGATGCTCCTGTTCCAGAAATCGACGCAGGCGAAGAAAAAGAAGGAGAAAAAGAAGCTGAAACTACCAGTACAGAAGTCAAGGGCGATACTGTATGTGTTGAAGGTGATCAGTCAGATACCAAACAAGATGTTGACAAAATTGAGCTCGAACCAGCAAAAGTTGAAGCCGAGCTTGCAGAGGACACGCTGAGGCTGTCGTCGCCTGGTGTGTAATGAAATTTAAACTAAAACGATCCGCTGTAGACCAGCCAATGAGTGATTTTGTAAAATATTGAAACGTCTAGTGCACGCTCTGAAGAACTCCATGTGTATTGTGCTGCCAGCGGAAGCTGGACATTGGAGCTGTAAGCTTACTTTGTCCTAGACACACTGAGATTCGATACACTTAATCGCTGACAATATGAACGTGTACGTTGGTATCCGTGTTGTAGCTACATGTGAGCTCAAAGCCGCTGCCATGTGAGTCCGGCCAGGCGAAGGTTGTGTTCTAATTTTTTACCCTAATTGACGAAATGAAAATAAGGCCATCAATCTTACGTTTGGGAAGTGGACAAATAAAATATCCGACAAAATCGCTCCAACAATGTAGGAACTTACAACAGCGCCTCAACAAATGTTGAGATGTCGCTGAGACAGTGTCCTTCTGCGCAATGTCAAGTGTGCCGAGCGAGATTACGTTGTGCTATGTTTGAAAATATATTGTGTTGACAAGTTGGTTGTGTTGAGGTTCAATGAGAAGGTTACAACCGACGCTTTAATGCCACATCGGTGCACTCGGTGTGCCCAGGCCAGGGACGACTGCTGGCCGCTGCAGTCACACAGGTCTGGATATAGGTGTCGCCAGCGCAGTAGGCATTCAGGGATAACGCCAGCTGGAGCGACGGCTCTATTGCTTTCTTTGAAGTTCTATCAGGCTCCTGAATGCATTACTAAATTTCAAATAGACGATCAAAATATGATAGAAGCACTGAACTCGAGTATTCATGCACCAATTTATATTCTTCCCGTTCTTTTCACTGAACGCCTCTACAGGCCAGTGCTCAGCCAGTCGCATTTCTCCTGTTCCCCGGTCGCTTCCCACGGCTCTTCTCCTCAGCTCACCGTCGCCTTTTCAGCGACTCCATCACTTTTGTACTCTTTTAGCGACATTGTCAGACTCCGCACTACTTCAACTTGGATGACACTGGAATAATGATGCAATTGGAGCACTTGCATTACGTAATGCTAAATATTTGCCTAAGCTTTCACCTTTAACTTCTGAAAATATATTATAAAATGTAAAAACAATGTGTACCTGTTTTGGAAAGCAAATTGTGAGTAATATTCCAGTTATGTGGTATCACGTTAATCCATAAATTTATTAGACATCAAGAAACTTTTCAAGAGACAGTAGATGATGCGCATTCACACCTTGACCTTGTCAATACGTAGGTACATACGAAGCAGAGCAAGCCAGAGATACCGGGAATGGCTACATATATGCAAACAATCTAAGCAATAAAAAAATCAAACAAAACACGGACTGCAATACAAATAAGGGCTCATCTCGTTCTTATCTCTCTCTCGAGTTTCAGCCAATGTCATGCAGTTAAGTAGAGCCGACAGCTCTCTGGCGACGATCCAGACATCTACCTGCGTCACAACCGCCTCAGCGCCTCTCGAACGTGTCCCCTGGGCTTCGAGCGTTACACCTCCCCACCCATCTTGCCCCCTCAGCCTCCCGTCCATCTTACTCAGCTCTATGCTATTCGCCGGCGCCTGAAATAGACTCACTAATCGCCACTGACAGCTGACATTGTAAGCGGTGTAAGCTGAAGTGCTATGAGCATTCCAGCCGCTCAGCATTGCACGATAGTCGATACACTGATGTTCAACAGATGAGCGCCGCGCGATGCTGGAGAATGCTTATGATGTGGCCCTGCACTGCAATGATCGCGTGACCGGACACCTTATTTGGTCATATCGTCCACGGCTGCACGGCCCCAGTTAACTCAACGCTGAGATTCCTCTGCAAGACCCGCAAACAGAAGCAACAACAGTCGGGTGACGAGTCTGCCTGTCTGGGACGCTGGCATGACGCAGGGAATGCAGCGGGTATCGCCCGCCCTGTCTACACCGCATCCTATCCGGTCAGATTGGGGTGGAGGGTCATCCGCTCCCCTCACCTCTGAGGTCACCGGACAGGGCCAGGGTCGCACCCCTGTGACAGGGGTGTACGCCCGCAGGGGTGGGGTGGGCGGAAGTTCGGGGAACGCTGCCACATCAGCAGCTCGGCCTCTGACGTTCTTGTGTGGGACCGACGTCAGAGTCAACGTCATCAAGTGGGCACAGAACCTCCGTTATGAGCGTCCTTTGACACATCAAATAAGTGATACGACTGTCAGACGACCAGGAGACATCACTGCAATACCTATACGAAAAAGCACGGTATCGTGCACACCTAGGGATCATAGCGTGATGCCACTTTGGTATGCCGACATAACTCCTAATTGTCTGTGGAGTGCAAAACAACTATATTTATTGATATTTTGTGGCGAAATAATTAAAAAAAACAGTAGGACACCTTTTGCGGCGATAAACGAGCAAGTTCAATAGAGAGCCGTGCAAATGCTTCAGGGCGAATCACTTCTTGACTCCAACTGACTTGTGCGGGTCACCCTTTAAACCTATCCCGAGCGATGGACCAATTTTGAGCGCAATTGGTCCTATTTTTTAATTTTAGATGTAGAAGCGGCGGCATTTTTTGATGTAGCAGCACCGGTGTTCGAGAAACATGTTGAAAAAAAACATGATCAAACGCTTACTCATGTAGCAAGCAAATGAACACCTTTCCTACACGCAAACACGACTTATAAATGAAGTGAGTGCCCAGTGTCGGATTGCTCTACATGACCATCCATTAGACCACAACACCCAATTTACACTGCCGCTGTCTTTACAGTTCATGGCTCCGCCTACCAATTCCACATACCTAAAGCAAATCCACCCGTGTAGACTTCAAACCACGACAAAGTCCCGTGATACAGCGTAGATAAAAATGATATCTTAAAAGTAACCGGGACCACATCAAACCAGTAGAACGTGACGTCACTGGCACCATCAGCTGTCAGCACTGTGACGTCACTAGCCCGCGCTGGACGGCCGTCTGTCTGCCCTGCCCGATAGGTTGGCAGCGCGTTACGTAGGCGCCAACAGCTGCGATGGCTCAACGCAGAGGTGCAGCGCTAATTCCGGCACGCGCCACGTGTGCGCCCCCGAGCTTCGTGACTCAGCTGCAGCCGTGCCAACGCCTTGGCGATCCGGTGATTGAAGCTCGCGAATCCATTCGACCACGTCTATCACCTCATGGATAATCTAGTAAAGTTAACGACCGCACCATCTTGAGACAGTGGGTAGCGAGGGTGACCCAGGACGGGGTCATCCCGTGACCCACAAGTAGCGACCTCAGGACTGGACTGGCGACAGCTCTCTGCCGGCGGGGCTCCAGCCGTCCGTCCGGCGGACCGTAGCGTCTGGCGGCGTATTTTTAGTGTCGCCGCCACCTCGCGGCACGGCCGGTCCAGTTGGCAGCTCGACACAGCAGCGCAGTCCGCTCCGACCGGAATAGGTGGCCGCCGCCGACCTCAGCCGGTCGGTGGACACTGCAGGGGGCGGCGGGACGATACAATGCAGGGTATGTGGGCGTGGGAGAGACGGACGCAGAGGACGAGCAGGTGGTAAGAGAGATTGGCCAATGTGAATGCCTAACGCTATGGTGGAGATACTGTCGAAATGGCACATAAGCAAGATCGGTCAATGATAACCCACTCGCACCCGTTCTCCACTTGCAGCACAGCCCACCACGACCTCTCAGCACTCTCCACAGGTTCCCTCCCGTCCCGTCACCGTCCCACCAGCCCGTCCGCCGGTGACGGATCGACCGCCACTCCTGGCCGAGCTGTGAGTCACGACTCGGCTCCGAGTCGCTCCCCGCCGGCCTGTGACGTCAGCGGCGGCGCCGGCGGAGGCCGGTCCAGACCCGGTCCGGCGGCGGCGTGGCGCGGCCGCCCGCGGCCCGGTGGTTCGGTGCTCCGCCGGCGGCGAGCGGGCGGTGTGCGCAGCGGCGGTGACGACAGCCGGCTGACACGACCCGTGTGTAGTGCAGTGTGGGCGGTTCTTGTGACGGGTGTACCCGCCTCGGTGATAGAATGGCTCGTGCACAGTCACACACGGCTCCGTCCCACGCGTGTGATTCAGTGCGGTCGTCGCGCGCCACCGCCCCACGCTCGGTGACGTGGTCCCGCGGAGTAAACAAGGTCCGTGTGTGAGGTGTCCGGGGTGGAGACCGATCCGGTGACCAAATACGGCGAGCCGGCTTATTATCCACTACCTCGAAACGATCCAATGAATATACAACGCAGCCTCATGAGGAATCTGGCCGAAGTCGTCTGAAGACGAAGTGGCGAAGTTCCCGGAATTCTATCAAGATGGGCGAGCATTCCTCTTCCCTGGCCTCACTGGGACTGGACTCGTCGGCCGGACTCGCGCTGGACTCTGGCCAGCTCCTTCAGGACGCGGCGACAAAGCGAAAACTGGCCGGCAGTGGTCCGCTCGCGCAGGTGCTCAAGCGGCGCCAGTGTCCGTCCGGTCCCTCCGAGCCGATCGTCGACACTCCGCCGACTCCGGCCGGGCTGCCGGACGGGCCTGACTTCTGGAGCGGCGGCGGCGGCGGCGGCGGCGGCGGCGCGGGGTCCAGTGACGGAGCTGTCGGCGCGGTGCCGAGACCGCAGCTCGCGCGACAGCTGGGGCACGGCCTCAGAGCGGGTCTGGCCGGCGGCGGAGGCGGGGTCCAGGGGCAGCGGCAGGCGCGCGCGGCGGCGGCGGCCATCGGCTGGCGGTCGGCGCCTCAGCGCTCGTTCCCTCCGAGCGGCGACAGTCTGCAGGTGCAGGAGATCAGCAGCGAGCTGTGGCAGGAGCCCGAGCTGGTGCAGCAGCTGCGCACCTCCTCCCTGGAGAGCTGCGGCGCCCTCCCGGCCGCCGGGGTGGTCGTGCAGGAGGTGGAGACCGACCCGGAGTCGGTGCCGGGCTCTCCGCGCTCCTCGCCCGGCACGCCGGAACGGCCGCGCGCCCAGCACGGCCTCAGTATCGTGGAGCTGCACTACGCCGAGGAGGAGGAGCACCAGGAGCACTGGGAGCAGGAGAGCAGCACCACAGAGGAGCTGGTGGTGCTGCCGGAGCGAGCTGTGGGCACCACCGCCCTCAGGCCAGGTGGGTAACTTCACGGCACTACACTGCGAGTATTCGCGGTTCGCTGCAGCACGGCGTAATCTTCTCTGTTTTGTCAGTTCATAAACGTGCCCATCAACCGCAGCACGGACGTAAAATTCCCAGGTGTTTAGGTCGCGGAGTAAACCAGCACCTGAGCGCGTTTGGCATGGGATCGGAGGGAGGGACCTCTGTGGCTTTTATGTCAGTCAAGCGAGAGTACTTACTGGGAGAAAGCGTTACCACACCTTAACCTGTTGTATATGTATATGCTTGTCGTTACACAGCACCCAAGCAAAAAATGTTCGGTTAGGCTGCCTGATGGAAGATAATCGCTTGTAAACGCTTGTAAAGTGGTCCCTTTAATCCGTCATCGTTTACCTTTCAAGCTATCGCGCATGGTTAGGTTACATTGAACCCGATTGGACAGAAGATATCTAAGCTGCAGTGACGGTGGGCCTATGAATATTCGAGTAAGCAATAAGCATGTCAGTGGGTAGACATTGTAACTCATGTCGGTCCAAAAGGCGCATATTTTCCGCGTTACTCTGCAGCTCTGCATACTCTGCTACAAAGTTTTGCAGCATGACAGCTGACTGAAGGCTCTGCGAGTGAGGCCAGCGCTCAGAAGGAATTTCTGCCAGCATGTGCATTACAAATTTGCAGACGAGACGGCCACGGGACCGGCGATAAGCCTAATTACGTCTCAGATAAATAAAGCGGAAATTTATTTGCCGATCGTAAGTCTAGTACGTAAGTCTAGCACAAGTAACGGGACTGAGCGTACCTACTGCCTACGAGTACCGACAATGTAAACAATTTGGCTCAAATACTCAGCCGTTAGCCATTCATCATGGGATTCTTGAATTTAGTTTGGCTGATTTCCAGCAAGTAAATTGTGTTGTTTCTGTACACAGGTTGCTTAGACACATCGTTTACTGGTGTTTACTTATCGCATGGTAAACAACCACTGAGCGTGCTCCAACGAAATATGTGTATCTTTGAACGACGGAGCAGCGTTACAGTGAAACATACAACACTGTTTCGCATTTGCATCTCATGTCGCGGAAAATAATAACCGTCACGAAACCAAATTTATTTGAAAGAAATGCTATCGTCTTTGGAAGCGAATGCGACTGCTGATAGCGAACCCATCTGAATGGAAATGTACCAACGATTTGTATTCAGGATCAATCGCAAGTTTGTTCCGATACTGGAGACTAACAGAGGCGATGCGTCCACGTATTCCCTAATTCTTCGGAAGCAAGTCCGTTTTGTCAGCGGGCTTCACGCAGCTGGTTGTCTGATACGCACTATTGGTATGCCGCAAATACTGTAGTGGACGAAGTAGACGGTAGGCTCGGGGGGGGGGGGGCATTGGACAAAATACGTGCACGGAAAACACCCAAGTGTTGTTGAACCCTGCATAACCCGCATTATGTAATGCGCAACAATCTCAGAGCACAAAAAATGAAACAAAGGATAGTAATTACAACCTGCATGTCGAAAAATACAATTGTGTTCGATCTAGTTTCAACCATAGACCTCTGTATACCGGTATACAGAGGTCTATTTTTCAACATATGCTCTTCAAGGTAAAATGAATTCCACTTGGTCTTTTGGCCGTAAAAAACGTCCACGTATTCAATTCTGGCACAGATCCTTGATGAATCATTCCTGGCAAAAAACATGAAAAGATAACCCCCTCAAAGTTTTGAACTTACAAAAGTAACGTCAACAACAAAGGTACCGCAAGAGGCTAAGAGCCCACTGCACGCTATTTGCCGACAACAGTTTCAGAGCAGCGTGCATAAACCTATTTTAAACATAGACCTATGATAAGACCTATAATATACCTATATATTAAACCGCGAGTAGGTAGAACGGGTAGAACAAATAATTTAAACGTCGAGCCGATAGGCGAGACGTTCAAAAGATATTTCTACCTACGAGCTGTTTAATTATGTTATCTTTCTAGTTGAGGTTTATTTGCCATTGGGTCTACAGTGCAGGGATATTTCTATCTCGCACTCCTCTGAGATGCAAAGATAAAAACTTGTTATCTCTGCATCTCTCTGAGATGCAAAGATAAGGTCTCGAGGGTTCATAGTCAAAAATCAAGAGTTCAACTGAAGATGGGTCAATAACCGAACGGCATTTTTAATGGCTGTTTATGTATGAAACTTATGAAATGCAAACAAACTACTCTAAATCTTTTTTTACATAGATGAATACATTTAAATATAATATTTAATTAACTAAGAATAAACCTCAACATAGAAAGATATAGGATTCCTCATGGCTCACTCGTGGAAGATCGGATATCTTTTCCTCGCGTGTTACAGAAAAACCTCGCTCCTTCGTCGCTCGGTTTTTCAGTAATCCGCTTGGAAAAGATATCCTTATCTTCCACTCGGAGCCATGAAGAATCCTCTATATCCCGTACCGCCGATATCTTTCGGGTGCTTAAAACGTCTCGCCTTCTACCTAGTACCTACTATACATCTCAGTAAATTGACGCCAACAGTCGGGAACAACGCACCACTGTCAGAGACTGCGAAAGGGGCCCTGTACCAAAAACTCACAGAAGTGTTTCTGACAAGCGGTAGCGGGGCAAGAGTATTTTATGTTCAATTCCACTATACATCAAAAAGACATACCCACATTTTAATGGGCACATTGTCCGATGCCTGCTGTCTAAATCAATTAACATATTCAAAGAATTAAGGGACTGATCCAAACGGACATACCCGTGAGATGTTTGGGGCAGTTGTAATCCATTAACCAATAAAAAGATGACTTATAAGTGACAATGTTTACCAGTCAAATTGCTCAATCCAAAAACGGTAGTGAGAAATCTTAGCATACCTATAGCCAATGGCCGCAGGGCATTGGTATTGTATTTTTGAGTTACGATGTAGGTACTTATATCAGCAAAGGGCATCGGCAGCATATTGCTAGGTGATCTCTCGGGGATCTTAATACAGTCGAAGGCACACTTAAAAATCAATATCTCATCATCAATCAAGGGACAATTGGAATGAAAATAAACACGTAAAAGTTAATGATACGTTCTAAAAAAATTCCATGACGGCAACTTAAGGAAACACCTTTACCTAAATACTTTCCTTTATTTTAGCCACTTAGTCTTTGTTAAACTAGCCATCATCTCCCTCTAGTATTTCGCCACCATATTGGGCATCATCTTGTTTCAGCTCTACGGAGTTAAATTCGCCGTGTTACATGGTCACCAGATATCGTCACATCTTACCCGTTGTAAATAGTTCATAGAGAAACTTCCTTCGTTTAATAAGCCTCTAGCCTCTAATAAGCTCAATTTCGAAGGGTACGACTCGGTACATATCTTCAATTGTTCTTCATATAAAATATCCGGTATGATTTCGAATTCCATTAAAATTCGTGAATTTTTAAATAATGTCGGGATTGTTCCACTAGCCCAGTAGACAGGTAAATCCAAACAGACTCCTACTCCGTCTCGGAGCAGCGGCCCGGTGCTGGCTGCAGATTGACATTGCAGAGGGCCGGGCCATCTCTGGCCATCACCCAGATGGCACTCTCTCGTCGCCGCAGTCCTGGCCGGCCCCATCCCGTCCTGCGGTCTTTGCTGAGGTGCGCCCAGGGCCAAGGTTGTCCGTGGTATGCGGTGACTGACAGCGCCCCTGGCGGCCGCTCGGCAAACCACTCGCGGAAATCTCCGGCCGACCAGTCTGACAAGGATAGGGCATTCTTGGCCGTGGCGAGACGTAAGCTCGTTATTCAGTGACGGTTTCAGACAAAACGCAGCTGCCGTCGCTGGAACGAGGCAAATGTCCCTGTCCAGGAGGCGATGTTTGTAATAAATCATGCGGTGGATAAAATTAATGATATTCTTATTGTCCTATTTTTAACGTTATTACCAAAGCAAATGATACAAAACGAAGATTTGCAAAGTCATCAGCGTTCATTTTATTTCACAGTCACATAACCCATTTATATAACCCGGACTATCATTTTTGTGCCTGTGCCAGTGTGGGCATTACCGGTCAAATTAGAATGTCACCAGGCACCACTTACCATTGACGGAAAGGAGGCTGTCAGAGGCCCCAGGAAATCACTCATAACTACCAGGACCTGTTCGTGAGCAGTTGCGTCTATATGAAAAATGGGTCTTTATGAAAAACGGCAACATACCTAAGCAGAAAGTGTTTAAGTGCGTAAATGTACGTCACTAAATTTTGTCCGTCGTCTGAAGTAATTTACTCTGGTTACACCGGTGGTTACACTGGTGTTGTGTATCCTGAACTGATGCTTGCACCGCACTGACATCTATCCGTCTCTGTGTCTTTCTCAGGCGGCGACGAGCCTGCTCTGTTCACTCTCCGACCCCTGCGGCGTCTGATGCATCCCGTCCGCCGCTGCCTCTCTCCTATGGCGGAGGAGTCCTGTGAGGAACTCGACTGGAGCGAGCCAAGAGCGCGCACAGCCAGACAGAGAGAGGACGAGGAGGAGGATGAGGAACGGGAGGAGGAGTCCTCGTCCTCCTCCGGGACGCTGCACGTGCGAGAGGACGCGGAGGAGAGTGTGAGGAGTGAGTCGGTATCGGCAGATTCTCGAGTCCGAGAGGAGGAAAGGATGGAAACGTCCAACGAGTCTTCAACGGTAGAGACTCGCGCAAAAGGGAGGATGGATACGATAGAAGAGTTGTGTGAAACGCGATCTGTTGAGTCCCGTGTTCGCTGCGATAGGAGTGGCGAGAAGGTGAATGCGGGGTCCCTGCCGGCTGTGTCTGGTGAGGAGAAGGAAATGGACTGTGATATATCGTTTAGTGAGTCGTTACCAGTGGAATCCAGGGTTAGACCTGGTGGTGCTAGGAAACGCTTGGAAAACGGTTTGAGTGAAGAATCGGTGGCAAGCTCTGACGACTCCGTAAAGAATGATTCGAGAAGCGCTGGGACAGAGGACGCCACAGAGTCCAGCCAATCGTCAAGCCGGTCGACACAGCACAGAACGAGCTGGTCACTACCGAGCGAGGCTGTTAAAACGGACTTCAGAACACTCTACATCCCGCGAACAAGCGTGTCATCTTCCAACGGCTCCCGCGCGGCGGAGACGAACAGCAGCAGTGTAGTGAATAGAGTGAGCTGGTCACTTCCTAATGAAGCACGTATACGTAATGGTAACGGAACTAATGAATCCGCTGCCAAGGAACAGAGCAAAAAGGACCCTGATCACAATGTGACGACGACCGTCAGTTCCTCTCTGCCGAACGTGGCGATATCCAGGGAGGCAAGGCAGAGGAAAAGCACCGTACTGAGCGGATCAGTGCCGAATGAGGCACGGCTGAAAGAGGAAGAAAAGTCGAAAGAGTTAGAAAAAGGTGGTGATAAGGCGGAAAACCGATCTCAAACTTCTTCCAGCACAGATGCAAAGGATGAAAGCAAAGTAGAGATTATCGATCGCACAAATGACAAAAAGTACAATTTCAGTGCCTTGAGAATGAAAAGAAAACAAGCACAATTAGCAGCTAAGGACAAGAAGGAAGGCAAAACAAAATCAAACACTACCAATCAATCAAAAAGGCCGTCGAAGTCATCGACAGCGAAAGAAAAACCAGCCGCCTCCGAGAGTAGAGACGAGAACCCTGAAACTGGATCAAGTAGATTGATGCCAGACTCTGCCGAGGGCGACGAGGGAAGGGATTCGCAGAAATGTAGCGAACCGGCAAAGACTGGGAAAAGTGAAAAGGCCAAAGATGCACCCAGCACTGCAACCAAATCGAAAACTTCGCAGGAGATAATCGAAGATCTGGAGAGCGACACGAGCTGGCGAACGATACGACCCACGGATCCTAAAGAAAACAACAGCGGCCAACGTTTAGGTGAGACTAATCCCCAGCTTACACAAAGAGTTCAGCCGGGGCTCGTCGCTCAGCGCCTTTAAAATTAGACGCGCCGCGCGCTGCAGTCGCCACCGAGATTAGCCGTTACTGCTGCGGGCTCTCACTCAAACAGGCTGCTCTAATGATGAACTGCGCTCATCGTTTGCCAAACAGCCCTCGCCTCGGTCAAATGCTGGCCCAATGTTTGTTTTGGTGGGCTTTAATAACAGTGTGTCTGAAATATGAGATGCGAATCACTTGAGGGCCGTAAGATTGTTTTAAGATCTACGTAATGGCTTGCATGTGAGCGAAGCTCCTATAAATTTGTCAGTGAAATCGAGCATGCATCGCGTAACTCGGTGGGCATTATTTTTCCGGTTTTATCAACTATCTATATAACTAACAGTTATAGCTTCTACATTCAGGAGCGCCAATTGTTTCAATAAAGTCACCTGTACCATGTCCCTTGACCCAATTCAAACATGTTTCCAGAGCCTCCATCAGTGCTGACTCCTCTGACCGACCTCGAGTGCTACGTCACGGAGACGCTGATGCTGAGTGCCGAGGTCACCGGTCAACCGTGTCCCGAGGCACGCTGGGTCAGCAAACCGTTCCTGTGAGTCAGCAGGGGGGGGGGGGGGGGCAGACGCGGCGGGACACAAGTACAATGTCGAAAAGCCGAAAAAGTAAAATTAACGTCTGAATGCGAAACATAGACCTTACTGTCTAGTAATCATTTCCATAACAGTCGTTTCAAAGTACTGTTTTTACGCTATTGAATCACTCTTTTTACCTTTCTTTTAGGTCCAGTCAGCAGGAGGAATCACTGAGCACGTGAGGAAATAAGGAGATCCTTGCCTGCCTGAGAGTGTCCAAAACTGACCTGTGCTCGTAATCTCCCTCGAAAAGATCAACTGCATGATGTGTGATTATGTGTGTCCTATTTGTGTCAACATTTAACAAGAACGTGACCTGAACTGAGTGTGACTAACTTTGGAAAATCGGCAAGGAACGTGGTTAAGAATGGCATCGTGTTTGCAAGTGCGTAATGTCGAATGCATCAGATGCATTGCTCTTTTGAACACTTGTTAGTGAATATTGCGTAACGTTTTGTGCGTAATGTTGTGTGTATCTATTAGTTATTTTCAACCAGCGAACTGCCACAAAGTAGCGATCTTTATTGCCTTATCAGCAATAAACGTACTTACGAGCATTTTAGCTTTGCTCATGAAAAGTCAGGCTGCAATTCTAAAATTTGTTTTTCTCATGATTCCAGGCACAGTGATAACACATCGTTGCATGCTATCAAAATCAATGTTGTTTTGTTTTGTGTTACATTTGTCCGTTTGACGTGTCGAATGAGGAATATCTGTCATCGTTTTTTTTTTTGCATGCAACAGTTGCAGAGCTGATACTGTGGTGTTATGAGTTATGCATAAGCGCTGAATGGGAATGTCAGCAAATACATGTTTACATTTTTAAATATCTATGAAAATACATTTTCCGATCTACACCAATGACAGTGCTGTTTACCGCTACAAACGAATACCGAGTGTTTATACAACAAGAAGGGTATCAATATCAGTATGGCAGCGTCGGTGTCTGTCAGAGAGCTGGATAAACCAAGTAAGTAAACCGACAAGGAAGAATGGTTACTAAATGGTTGAAATCAACTGTATAAGAAGAGAATATTTTTTTAACTTCGTGGCAAAATCTACTGAATATCTTTTTTTGAGAAATTAAATATGAAAGTGATAACACATCACCACTATGAAAAAACTAAATTTGAGGTATATTTCACTGAAAGAATGCTTCATTTGCGTCACATCACTATCCCACGACCCGCTAACATTCGTGACAGTGATTCCTCACTGCCCCCCCCCCCCATCTCCCCCCTAGACTCAAGGAGGGTCAGACGGTGAAGACGGACGACCACCACCTGATCCAGCGTCAGGGACCTCATCGCCACCGGCTGGTCCTGCCGAGACTGAGCTACAAGGACGCCGGACGGTACACCGTGGTGTTCACCAACTCACAGGGCGAGGCCGCCTCGCACTGCAAGGTCGTCGTCAGACGTAAGTGGGCAATGGGCGAGCAGGACGGTTACTGGTTATAAGGGGTGCGACCCATAATCTATTGCTGGTATATACATATTATCCATGGATGTGTTTGATGGATGTAAGACATGTCTAGTGCTAGTTGTTGAATGTCTCGATTGTTTTTCCCGGGCGAAAATCTCAATTATTTTTTTATCGTGGAAGTCCGTGATTAATAACCGTTCACTGTTCACCGTCCCTCCAACGATTGAGCGATAAATTAATGAAACAGCTGACAGTGTTGTCAAAACAGACCCAGCTGTCTAAAAGACTGCCACTTTGACATCCAATTCGTTTGGCTCGAGTGAACACCATCCACGCCCCACCTTTCCAGCGCTGACCGAGCTGAGGGCGCCCCATTTCTTCACTCCCCTGGTGCCGCGAACGGTGTGCGCCGGTGATAAGGCCCAGTTCAGCTGTGAGGTGCGCGGGTCACCGCTGCCCAGTGTCACCTGGTAAGGCCATCAGAAATACGAGCCTCCTAATAACTTAGGAGTGGTCTAAGGGTCATTTATAACCAGTGTCTGATGTTGAGATGATATTAATATGTGTCTGAATGCCTGTTCACTCATTATGTGTTTTAATGTCAGTATCAATAAACAGAATGATAATGAAGTTGTGATATTAAATAGATTTAGACGTTTCGAAAGTCGCGTTAAAATTGAGGCCACATAATCTTGACCAAACTGCTTAAAATAATCTAACCCCCTTCACGTTGTCTAATCTGATCGTCTGGTCCGTCCTCCTGTGTCAGGTTTAAGGACTCGGTGGCGCTGCGCGCCGGTCCAGAGGTTCTGATGACCTATAAGCTGACCACCGGGCTGTGTTCGCTGACCCTGGTAAAGGTCCAGGTCGGCGACGGAGGACAGTATACGTGCCGCGCCTCCAACCAACACGGTCATACTCAGATCCAGGTGGGGGTGAGACCAATGCTGTTTTACTAGGTTTTTCAACCGCATGCAACTGTTATGATAAAGGTAATTTTTTTTCAAGATAGTTTTTCATGACAGTTGTAAGCTTTTTCAGTCGCCAAATATTTCTAGCGCAAATTATGCATTTAAACAATGCAAACAAAATAGTCACAATTCCAGAAATAACGCAAAATATTCATTTGTCCGCAGACCACACTCCAAGTCATCGAAAACGAACAATGCGATTCGACCGAGGCGAAGTCACAGGACACTGCGGGCCGTGTATCTGCGGAAGCGACATCGATAGACACTCAGGACACATCGTCTACCAAAACCGCAGCGGGTGGAATATCCAGATCAACGGAAAACGGGAATCTGGATGAAGCCAAATCACCTCCTGTTATAAACCTGGCACCATCAGATGCTACGTCTCCACAAAATATGACGCATAAAGCCCAAGACACCATCCCAAACGGTTTAGCACAGCCCTCTGGTGCTGTAATTCATTCCAAAGAGCAAATGGTAGCACCTACCACCCAGTCCTCCAGCGGAGGAGGCTCAGTAACGAACACATCTACGAGAGGGGAGCAGCCGTCGTCCTCCGGGGTGTCCTCCCGTCCGACCGGGGAGGTGGCGCCACCTAGCGCCCAGGCCGGGAAAGCTCAACAGATGGCGCCACAGGGTACTGCTCCTGGCTCCAGCGAGGAGAGGAAAACGTTATCGCCAGCATCGGACATCTCATCTTCACAAACAGTCCAGTCCAGCACAAATGCTTCAAACAATGATGTGCAGGTGCCGGGCATCACCAGTTCGTCTTCAGCGAAAGCGTCTGTGGTCATCAACCATCCCATCAAAGTGGCACCATCATCAGAAAACCTGCCGGAAAAGACACTCACTACGGAAACTCCAGGGAAAACGTCTTTCAAAAACACCTCGAATGTGAAGTCAACCAGCCTCCATGAGAAGACACCGGGTGTCGCATCTTCAAAAAACGTTTCTTCAGTGGATAACTCTACCCAAAATGCAACTATCAACGAATCGTCATCTGTCAAAGATCGTCAGCGAACGGTTGAGGCTCTCAAAATTTCGACAGAGCAGGCTGGTGACGTCAGATCCCATCCAGTTGAGCTGACGCTGCCCGACGTCGGCAGGTCACATCCCATTCAAGTCCCGTGTCAGGTGGCACTGTCTCATCCGATCGAGAGCGACTCACCAGTCAGGACCACCAAGGCAGGAAGAGAGAGCTGCAAAAGGGCACCGCAAAATAGCGACAGGTGAGTCACACTGAAGGTAAATGCAGACAACAAGCATTTATTGAATTGTTTCTAGCTATGCTTCTTTTATCAGAGTCATAGGTAACTAACAAACCCATACCTATCACCTGAATTTTTGGTCTCATTAATCCGCATCTTGATTTTGTAATTCGATGGCAAAAGACTATCTGATCTATTTTAACGCCTATCTCATCTATCTCACTAGGTGCATACAAGCGTAGGCACCAACTACAGAAGTGCTTTTGAGAAGTGTTAGTGCCAATTTTTCAGATGGCTTCGATTCATCAGTTCTGATTTTTATGAAAGATCATGTCCTATAATTCACATGTTACGCATCAACCAGCTTCGACGGAGGCGAGCCGTGCACCAAAATGAGCAGCCACAATTTCACAAAAGAACACCAAAAGCTTCTGCATTAGAAAAAGTGCAAGTATTTTAACCACATCTCACACCTCGAGCGGGCCCTAGCCTTTGCTCGCGCCTACACAACCAATGCTGGCTGCTGCCGCCGCTGCGCGACCGACCAACCGACCGACCGACCGCCGCCCGGGGCTCGCTGCCTGGGGCTATTTACGTCTGGTACACGCGCCACGTGCCACGACCCCCCCCCCCTACCCCACCCCACCCCCGCTCGGACGATGTTCATGACGACAAAAACAGCCCCTGGGCGGCCGGCAGGTGCCGAAAGCTGTACAGAGTTCAAACGGAGCCGCCGTTACCGACGGCCTAATCAGGTGCCGGGCCAATTTGAATCGAGAGCGAGATACCTAATGAGCCGTCGGGGGTGATCAGAAAAAATGACAGCTATGAATGAGATATCACACACGATATTAGTTAATTCCTCACAGCGTTATCACTGGTGCAAGGTCTTTTGGTAAGCATTCTCACAATTTTCATTCCATTCATTTCAGTTGAGTTGGGCAGGGGTGTGGCGACGCCTTCAACATTCAACAGTGCGCTGAAAGAATAGGTTTCAGCTGGATGTGCTTTGGTTGGCCAAAAGAACTGATATGCTACGCACTAAAAACTTTATGCAAGACACGAGACGCCCACAATTTTATCTCACACCACACTAACTGTCACCAAACCGGACCTCCCCAGCCCTCGGCAAACGATCCTCCGTGCGCCCCTGCAGAACGGCGCATCAAAATCACCGCATCCAATTGTGGCGCCCATCCTGACGCAGTCTGTTACGCTGCTGTCGCTCGACTATGCGGCTCGCGCGTTTCGGCGCGCCGCGGCCGCCATCGTTTGGCGCCATAAACTGGCGTTTGGCGCGTGGCCCTGACTTTTCGGCCCGCCGAGCGGTGGTCAGCCTGGCACAGAGCCCGACTTCGGCGAATTGGTGGCGGGATGGTGGTATCGATAGCAATGGTGATGGTGATACCCGAGGTGGTGATGGGGTAAGAATAGGATGGCGATTGAAAGTTGATGGCGAAGGTGATTGCCAAAGCGATGGTGATGGTAAGAATAATGATGGCGCTAGCCAAACCGCTGACAATAGCGATGGCGATGACATTTGGCGCTCAATACCCATTGCCAAGAATCGTGCAGTGACTCGCTGGCATCCGCTCTCCGGACAGCGGAGGAGACAAGAGGGGGTAAAGAGGAGGAGGCGGGGGGAGGCGAGGGAGGGGAGAACAGGTCGCGCTGGCGACGTCAACAGTCCTCTCTTCGACGACCAAACGTCAGCGCGATTTACTGACCACGAATCGAACTGACTGGCGCCGCGAGCCAAGCGGCCTGACACGGCCGCGGGTCGCGTCGCGTCGCGTCAGTCCGGCGCCGCCGATGTCGGCGCGACGGCAGGGAAAATGTGGCCGGCGCCATGAGCGGCGGGGAGGCGGCGGCGGCCGGCTGGGCGGCGGCGGCCACCCTCGGCTACGTGGTGTGTGACGTGCTGACCCGCGCCGCCGTCCGCAGGCTGAAGGGCCCGCCGGAGGAGAAGGACCCGCCGCCGGAAGAGGAGGAGAGGGAGCCGACCGACCCGCCGCCGCCGGCAGCGGACCGCCCCGACCACCAGCTGACGGCGCCAGGTGCCAGCGGAGCCGCCACCGACGCCACCGACGCGCCGCCGCCGACGGCCGCACCAGGTGAGGGGAGGGCCGGCCGCGCTGGCGCCCCGGGGGAGGTTGAAGGGGAGAGGGGGCGGCCGGTACCCGGAGTGGGCGTGGCCGGGGAGTGGTGGTCTGTGAGATACTTTATGGGATGGTTGAATCGGAGACGGTGTGTTGTGAGAAGCTCCAGGGGAAGCTGAGGTCTTGACTTAATTAATCAAGTCCATTCAAAAAGATTCCAAATGATAACTTGACAAGGCTTGCATGATTTGATTTCTTTCAGTAGGCATGCATGACATTACTTAGCCCTAACTGATAATGAAATAGGTTTCTACCGTCATTAAACGCAGACATGGGACTGGGAGTGATAAACACTTATAAGACATTTTCTATGAAAACTTCAAGCGTTTATTATCGACGTTTATAGCACTCTACCACATGTATGTAGTTTGCAAGTCCGAAGGGGAGAAGCGGGGATAGGGATGATATGGTACCGATGCCAAGTTTTAATGAAACCTGTATGAAACCATTTTACTGCCTAAATAAAAACCTACGATGGAACAATATACTCGCTGTCAGATTAATACTCAAGAGATATAATTGAACACAACACATAACACCGGGAATTGTTTTGAAGATGCATCCTTGACAGAAGATGCACTGCCAGCGGACTTGTGCCAGAAAAGCGCTAAGAAGTAGCCAGCTCTTGGCTTGTGGCAAGCAAGATTAGCGTGCGTGGCATACTGTTCTCGGTGCAGCCGTCCCGTGCTGAGCCAGCTGCGACCCTGCCGAAGACCTGAAGCTGTGCCCTGACCTTGCCACCGTGGTTGTATTTTGAGCTTTCAGAGAACGGCACCCGACCTTGCCGACAGGCTAGGGTCAAAGAGAGGTCGCATCGTCCCCGTCCACATTGGACCACATGAAAACAGAACAAAATTGGGTTATGTAGGATATATCTGTAACTTAAAAAAACAAGGGCTTAAAGTAAGAAACATTTTTTGGGGGAGGGGAAGAATCTGGTATGCAGATTCAGTGTTAACGCGTATGACGATATAGGTATAAATGTCACCAAATTATACATCGTTTTTGTCAAAAATTGTGTTGGTTGATTGCATCTTACTAATGTCACCGATCGTTATCAGTGATCCCTCTGATAGGCATCTCCAAACAATACGTCCGTTGTCTTATGTCGGGAAGAGATCAAACAAATAGCTACCACTACTGATACCTGTGGTAGAATTACTTCAGCTTTAGTCCCAGTGTTACCATGAGGGTCAACATGCACAGAAGGTTGCCAAGCATAAGACGGTGCCAGACGGTAGAGATTTATACCAACAGTAGGTACCATAGTTGAGTGCGGAAATGAAGACTGTAGCGACTGTCAACACTCATGATTATGACCGCATTTCCGCCAGCGCAAGGAAGTAATCTGGAAAATTTGTAGCACGGAAGTTGTTACTGAAGAACATTTCTGCTGATATAAAGGCTTTCTAACATGAGAAGCGAGTCCTAAAACCGACGAAGGCTGTGCGCGATGCGCATTGGACAGAATATTTCATCTCTTGCTGCTCAGATTTTAGCACTACGTTCTTCATTACGAGTAAACAACAAAAATAGCACACCTAAAGCCATGTGCCAGCCCAATAATTTAACAGTTTCCGGCGACACATTCCGTCTCTCTACGACCATTAATTCGCCGGCGATATGTGTCGCGACTGTCTTGTGCCCTTCTCCACGTCCCTGGCTCCTGGCACAGGACCGTTCGTAGTTCCCCCGTCGTTTGTTAGTTGCCACTCCCCGACAGCTGAACTTGAGCGGCCGGTCGCGTCGGTGGGACCGGCCGGCCGGTGCCAGCGGCCCGTCTGCAGTGTTGCCACTGTGTTGCAGAGCTCGGACGCGCGCCAGAGGACGCGCCTGACGTCGGGAGAGGACTGAGGCGAACCGGGGAGAGCTCACTCAGCAAGCCGCCTCCGGTCATCAGCTGGTGAGTGTCACCATCGGGAGCTATTGAACATGACTTCTCTTGTAGACTTACAGAAAAGGGTTCTTAGAATCACATAAGTTAGCAATAACGATATTTAGAGGCAGCGAGTTGGGTAATTTCTATCGTTCTAGGTTAAGTTCAAGCGTTTTGGCAGGTCGCATCGCTGGTATCGAGTAAGTGGTAAGATTATTTGAATTACGCGATTACAGCTGTTAGAATACATTTATCGTTGACCGCTTTAACCCGCGCCCCACTGGGGGGGGGGGCTATTTATAGCCCCCCCCCCTCCCGTTTTTCTGCAATAACTTCCAAACCGCTTGACGAATCGACGCCAAACTTTCAGTACCTTCGGCTGCATCAATTTGACACCTTGTGTCAAAATTTGAACTTCGTAGCTACCATAGGTCGGCCGGAAATGACGTCAGAGTGACGTCATGTTCGTCCGATTTCGACGCAAAACATTGAACCACGGCAATCGCTCCCAAGAGCTCAGTTTTTAAGCTAGATCCAATTTCTTTGCATGAAAGGACTCAGAATTGACCGCGCTATCAAACTGCTATCTCGGATTTTCAAAATTTTGAAAATTTCGAAAATTTTATATAATAATATTCAAAATTTATATTTTTTTTATTTTTTTCAAAAAGTTTTTGACTTTTCGAAAAAACCGGAATATATGTGACAGAACGCATGATTATGACTAACTCTAGCAAGTTTTAGCTAAATATCTTCAAAAATGGCCAAGTTATACGCATTATTGCAAAAAAAATCACAATTATTAATTTTTCAAATCATTTTTTCAGTACGTATTTGGCATCGTACACCAATATAAATGGCACCATCGTGTTCCTGAGCTCAAACTGCATCCAATAGACACCTTTTTTGTTGAAAAATTTCAATTTCAAAATTTGACCTTTTTTGACCTGAAAGTGACCTGACCTAAGCTAATTTCGACTCAAAATGACCTTGAATGACACAGACGACATCAAATTCGAAATCTATGGCCTAAATGGACCATAAAACATGTGTCACGTGACCGACGCATGATATAATATTTTCGTGACCTGTGATGACCTGACCCTGACCTGAAAATCAAAGTACAAGTTTGGTACCCTCAAGGTATCTAGAGCATCTGTTCACGAGTGTGGAAACCAAAAATGAGCCTGATCTGACTTGTAAGACGGCGGCCAGAGCCCAAAATGTGAACAAGCCAAAGTGCTAATAATTTTTACTTTGACCTGACCTGTGACGTCATCGGTGACCTCGAGGTCAATGAAATTAGGTTTCGCTCGACAGTTTTTCCGGGGCTATCAGACGCCGTTTGAATTTTGACGATCGGCCCAGTAGTTTCGGAGTTAGGAGGGGGGGCTATGAATAGCCCCCCCCCCCCCAGTAGGGCGTGTTATACACAGACCCCAGTGGGGCGCGGGTTAACAGCGAAATATTGTTGTTAAAAGGTTAAACACTTAAAAAGATTGGTTGTATTTGTTCATATTCAAGGATGGTGTTGGACTTTTCAGCCTTTTTGATTGTGCAATGACTTTGTGCTGGTGCTCACACATGTGTAATAATTTTACAGCTTCCTTCAGCTTTTTATGTGCTATCTCTTTATTGTTGGCCAATGCATTTCAGTATCTGAAAGTGAAAAAGCCAAACAAAACACCGATAATTGGAAAGAAAACAAATAGTTAGCCGTTTTGGCTTTGGCCCAACAGACGAATGTTGCTTGAACTCCGATCGAATGGCGGGGTCAACACAGACAGTGTTGTAGTAAAGAGTGAAAGAACGGGCTGTGAAGCCTTTGAAATCGCCTATTCCTATCAGTATTAGACGGAGGGTACATCCATTAAACTAGGAGCCAGCCAAAAAATGTGCTGTTCAATGTTAACACGGCAAAGCTAAAATAAATAATTAAATGATGAGCCAAGTTGGCAATGAAGGCAGTTAGAATTACCAACAAAATATGTGGTTTTCGCTTTCCCTCCCTCTTTCAACTAAGTACTCCACATTAAACGGTCAGGAAAATTCACACAATTTCAAGCAAACCAAAACTTTTTTATATTCACTTTCATTATGAAACATATAATCTTTATGCTATGATGTCCTCATGCTGCTCATTCAACAATATTCCAAACATGTTTCTCAGAACCCAAAACAAGCTTTCAAAGCGGGTTTCATTCATGCACCAAGCACCAAGAAGAGTCGGCTACCAGATACTAAACATTATACTAACGACTGTCCGACAACGGTGTTGGAAAGGGTCAGAAGGCCGCCCACACCCACCGCTTAAGCACAAATAAGTGAAAGCGCCTGACGTGAAAGTAAGCAAGCGTCCATCTTCTTATAATAACACAAACATTGACTCTGCTAATAGGTGCGGTAGTCAGGTCAAGCCACGTCAGGGGATGAGACTCCTTTCTCTTCTCATGTCAGCTCTACCCCAGATAGCTGTCAATGCCCAATGACCATCCCGCCCTCCAAACGGGCGTAGTTTCGTCTGTCGCCACAACAGCCGTCGTTGCCCGCTGGCCGGATCCTCCCGTGCCGCCGCTGGCCGTTTGCCGGCTAATTTTAGTGGTCGGCCGGCCGGCCGGCAGCGCCCTCACTCTGGCCCGCGGCCACCGCGCCGGCCGTACCGCGCCGTCAGCCAATCAGCGACCGGCCAGTGACGTCACGGGGCTCCGCTAAATGCGGCGACGCCCGGTGACAGTTCTTGTCCGAGAGCGGTCCGGCTCTGGGAACTGAGCGAGGATGATGGGTGGAATAGACAGACTCAGGGCTGTGCATTGAATGACTGCACAATGCCCCAGGCAGTTCAATAGGCTTCAATAACCTCTTAGCTTATTACAGACATAATAAGCGCAATCGGATTTGATTAACATTTAAAATCATGTCATTGTTATGCACATAACCAGTTCCCATTGTTAAAACGCCCGAGTCTCAGCACCTTCATCTTCCATTTAGTGCGCCGCGGCGCACCGCACGGCTGCCAGCGCATTGCGGCACAGCATAACTTTAGGCGTTAACTCTTAGCGCCATCTATCGAGAGGAATATCGTTCCACCATGGCTACAGGGAAAGACGAGACAGCATGGATCTTTCAATGGTTGTATTAATTCCACAGCTCTTTTTTTTAGAAGGCTGGCACATAAAACCAGCTGTGTATACAAGTATGACGACGAAAAGAAGACGTGTAACTTGACAAATGACAAATGAGAAGCAGCAGCTTCCTACAACAAATGCAACACACCGCATTCATCGGTCCTACCCTAACCCAAGTCCATCTGACATCTACATTGGCCACACCTCTCCAGTTTCCGTATTTTCGTCCCCGTCAGGCTCAGACAACCATCGATCACTACTGATGAACGATTCCCTCACGGCTCAGAGCCATCCAGTCAGCGTCCGTGGCCAGCACCGAGTCACGGAGCCTCGGAACCACATTCTCGCTTCTCCCAGCGCGCGGCCCCGCATTCCTCGCCGGTCCGCTGGCTCGTGTCGCGCGCCGCGGCGCCGAGCCGCTGGCACAGCGTCACCGCCGACGCAACAGCTGACGGCTGCGTCGGCGTCGGCGATTGGCCGGCGGCTGCGGCGGTTCCGGGTGACCGTCGGCGGCGACTCGGCCGGCGGAGAGGGCGGTGGGTGTCTGCAGCGCGCTCCGTGGTCGGTGGGGCTCGGCGCACGGCGGCGGTGGGCGGTACCCGGTGAGACAGAGAACGGTCACGGCCTGCCCGCAGGCGGAACGACGCGCGACCCGTGCCCCGGTCAGCGCCGGTCAGGGTCATGACCTCGCCGGAGGCGGAGGTGACGATGGACGCGACTGAGGTGGCTCCTGAGGCGGTTGCTGAGTCGGCACCTGAGGCGGCCCCTGAGACGGAGGTCACCAACGAGCCAACAGTAGCCAGCGAAGAGCCAGCGATTGCCGAAACGGCGCAACCCGCGGCAGAACGTAAGTACCAGAGATGTTTTCTTGTGAAGGGCTTGAAACGCGGGCGTGGCATGATAAATCCGATGGCATATCAAATCGAATAGTCGGCATACATGTATTTACCCATACCTATGCATTTATTTTTCCTTGCTTGAAGATTGCACAATATGATTTTGTCATTGTTGTGCTGTTGTTTGTTTGCTTGCTTGCTCATGCTGCTAACACAACACCCCGACCTGTCTGTCTGTTATTAAGGGCTGGAGAACATGTATCTTTAGTATAAGTGCAACACTGGCGGATCCATTGGGGGCTAATGCCCCTCCCCGCAGCGCCCGAAATCGACAAAAATTTGCGGTTTTTCGACAATCAAACAAAAACTTAACAACTTTGATAAGGAAAGGTTTATTTTTTAGCTTCACAGCAGTGCGTAAATAATAGAAATCCGTTAAGTGTTTTTTTTTTATTTGGAGAAGCGTTTTTGGGGTATGCCCCCGCAGCGTCCAAGACCGGTTTTTTATCCGCCTGTGAAATGCAAGGCTATATGGTTAGTGGTTACTACTATTATTTTATTATTGCATTGCAACCTGTATTGAAAAAAGCTATAACTGCGAGTTTAGACAAGCACTGCAGATTTGGCAGGTTACGTCAAAATTTTATTTTATATGAACTTTGTCTTCTTTCTTCTTACGCTTAACAACAAATCTAGTTAACCAACTCATAATTTTGCCCATTCTTTCATCCCACTTCCACTGCTATTCCTTTTTAACGCTCCTTATACGACTTTAGTCGTTTTTTTACGACTTTTTTCCTTTTACGATTGCCGCACATTTTATAGGTTATGGTTTGCGTAGGCGTATATTTTTTTAACTTCCGATCCCTAAAAAGGTGTTATTCAAATGTCTTCACATTTCATCTCCAATTTTTAATCAGGCAATTTACCTGATTCATATATCAGTAGTCGCAAAAGTATACCAACGTTTATCTGGTCAATCATAAAATTTGCGCATTGCATACTACTGTCGAAGGTAATTAGCACTGAGTACGATAGAGTTCTCTGCGGATTGAAATCTAAGTAAAACGTCAACAAACTACGGTCAACTGTTGAAAGCCAGCGTTTAAATCATTGACAGGTTGGCTGGTAACTAAATACGTCCGGTCACCCATACCCCAGAGTCCCTAGTGACCCCATCTCAAGTGTTTGTTGGTTCTGGCGGCCATTACTTGCCCCTGGCGGTCGCCAAAGTAGTTGCCAGCCTTGGGACGATGCTTTTGGGCGCCTGGCAATGCTGGTTTATACACAACTAATTCGTTTGTACTGAAAACAGACCATGTATGGTGCTAATCTTTTCTAAATATCGGCAGCAACGAATGTTGCTGCATGGTGGCATAACTGAATGGTACAATATTTCCTCACGACCGTGAGGCGTGAGACAAATGAAATTTATGAAGACGGAAAATGGATGGAAGACGGAAAGGCGAAGAACGACGGAGGACGGTCCCGCCTTCCGGCCCTCGCTCTCTGCCGCGTGCCCCGCTCCGCCATCCGCCGGTGGCCGGCCCGGTGTCACGGCGTGTCACGGGTGTCAGTGACCCCGTGGACCGGTGCCAGCGGGCCGGGGAGATCCGTGACACTGCCAGCTGGCACTGCCCGCCACCCGGCAGAGACGACCGAGCTCAGGGAAACCGAACCCGCGGCGGATTGTGTTCAAAACGAAATTAAAACGATTGTCAATGAAATTTTATAAGAGTGAGGTACCTTATTCAGCCTTTTATCCGTCATATTCACTGCCAGTACCAACTAAACTCAATGCTGTGTAAATTGTCTTTTTCACTGATCCATAACGTTTACGCTTCACTTCCTGTTTTGTATGCCGTTTGGAAATAATATCCTATCCGATGAGGCCAATTAAACGCCTCTTATCAAACCTACCTCACAGGTGATGCCAGCGAATAACCTTTTAGAGTCGCAACCCAATGTAAGGTCAAATCGGTCGTGTTACCTGATCCACTAGGCATACGGCCCCGGACATATTCGTCGTAGCCGTCCATCTCTCGCATTCCTCTGCTAGTTTAGTGGCCCATCTGTTGGGCCGGAATCACCTGCTTTGTGGGATCAAGAAAAATAATGAAAGTTAAGTGGTAAATAATTAAATCATAAACAATAACGTCAGGGTGATAAACTAGAAACAACTGTGAAGCCATTCATTTTTATATTCAAGGTGTCTTGTAATCTAGTTTTAATTCATCATGCAACTGTTAGTCGTAAAAACGTCTTCTTAGACCAGCAACTAGCTACATAGAAAGGATGTAGGTACAAACTTGCAAAGTGTGTATCCTCAAATTATTGAAAGAAAACTTGACCGATGTGTTCCCCTTCCAGCCGCAGCAGAGGAGACTCCTGCCACCGAGGAGCCAGTTTCACCACCACCAAAGGAGGAGGTCCCAGAGCCGGCCGCCGAGCCTGTGGTCGCTGAGGAACCTCCCGTCCCTGAGGAGCCTCCCGCCTCAGACCCTCCCTCCGTCCAGCCGCCATCGGTGGAGGAAGCGCTTGCACCCGTCCAGGCGGTAGCCGGCTGTCCGGGTCGGCTGGAGGGTCGTATCAGCGGCGTACCCAAGCCGACCGTGGCCTGGTCGAGGAACGGCGTGACGCTGCACCCGGATGGAGAGCGTGTCCGCCAGTACCATCACGATGACGGCACGTTCGGACTGGAGATCGCAGAGAGTCGGGAGGAGGACGTGGGGACGTACGCGGCCACGGCCGTCAACTCTGCCGGCCAGGCCGCCACAGAGGCCGCCTTCCAGCTACTAGGTACGGGCGGGGGAGAGGGAAGGGGAGAAATAGAGAAGGGTCGAGGTCTGAATGACTTACGGGTCCCGCGCGCGAAACAGGTGCTTATTCAAGCCATGCGGAACGTACAATGCTTTTACCTCGTGAGCTCAACCACTTGTTCAATCTTTGAGCATGACATTGGGGCTTTATGAAAAATGTTTCTCATATTGCTCTTATGGTGATTCTAGCGGGATTCAACCGAATAATGGATAGCACCACACCTGACAACACCATCCAACACCATCTCTTACATCACCCCTCACCTTCCCTCCCCCCTCCAGACACCAGCACGGCCGGCAAGGAGTGGGCTCCCGACTTCACCACACCTCTGCTCGGAGCCAAGGTGGACGAGGGGGGTGCCATCGAGCTGGATACCCACATCACGGGCGTGCCCATCCCGGAGATCACCTGGACTAAGAACGGCGTGCCCATTGAGGCCGGACCGCGCGTCACCTTAGGCTACGACAGCGACAAGGTGAGGATGGAGACGATGCTGGAAGAGGTGGTGGAGCGAGTGGTGGCACTGGTGAAACGAGCGGTATCGCTACTCTGCCTTCTCTGTGTGTCCTCCTTGCTAGCCGTCTGTACTCTTATGTTCTGTTTGTCCTCTCTGGCTGTCCTTCCTCTCTTACTGGTAAATTCAGGGGTGTTGGCCGAAAGCATCTGCTTTGTGAAATCAAGCAGAATTTATGAAAGTAAAGTGCACCAAGAGGGTGAAGGAAGGAACAGCCATCGCGCTGATAAATTTATACCAGCCTCTCCGCAATGTCAACGCCAGGGAAGTGGGCACTTAATCCTGCAAAGTGATGCCAAGAGAAGGCTGGGTGTGGTGCTTGTGTTGGAGCAGTTAATAGGGTGCGGAAACTATCCAGAGACACAAGTTTATCGCTAGGTGAAGCCAATATATACAAAAGAAAAACGTTAAAATGTGGCAGGTTGGCACTGGGCACCCCATAAAATTTGGCTCTCGATCGTCAATCGGTAGCAAATGACGTTACAAGATGTAATTTTTTAAAAAATATAATTAAGAAAGGAGCACATAAGGCTCTTCGGTGTTGCCCTACAAAAATAATCGTAAATCTCTAAGCTAGTTCTTAACTTTAGCAGCAAAACAAAATGATGAATACGTGTGTACGCTAGAACCAGCTTCAGGAAATGTCTTGAGAAATGCTCCGAAGTTTTTGACACCAGTAAAATCTTCCTTCATAATATTTCGACCGACAGGATATCTTACCAGTATAACGCCTTTTGGGGCGACTAACGGAGCGAGCGAGAGTGTGGGCCTTGCACGTGCAAAATTGCGAGGGGGTACCTCCAACTGAGTTGTGCACGGCACCCTACTAACCGGTCTCTAGCGATGTGCCAAGTTTGAGCACAATCGGCCCAGCCGTTCTCGAGATCTGGAAGCGGCACCCTGCACGCGCGCACGTGCAAAATGGGTCCCAACTGACTTGTGCACGGCACCCTACTAACCGGTCCCTAACCATGTGCCAAATTTGAGCGCCATCGGTCCAGCCGTTCTCGAGATCTGGAATCGACCCCTGCACGTGCGCACGTGCAGCAGCACCCCAACTCTGGCACATGGATATGCATTGCCTAGTGGGTGTCTACCTACATGCCAACTTTCAGCGCAATCGGCCAAGTAGTTACCGAGATATTGCAACAATTACAAAAGTGACACCTCTTCGTTTTGCACGTGGCACGTGCATAAGGGGTCACCCACATGCATCGGGAATAGTCCAATACTTGGTAGAAGGAATGAAGCTACCCTACAAAAATTACCGCGTGTAAATCGGTCAAGCGGTTGCTGAGATATAAGCGTGGCAGAATCGCGACCACGGCCACCGGCCGCTCATACTCAGAAATCATCGGAAGCATCAAAACACACAAACCATGATCACCTGGGACGTTCGTACGCTACGTCAACTACCTGGCTTCCCGAAGACATCCTTTTCGTAACGAGGTGATACTGTTGGCAGGCCACGCTGTCGATCAAACCAGCGGAGACGTCCGACGCTGGAAAGTACGAGATCACCATCAAGAACAAGCTTGGTGAGAAGAGCTCGGCCGTCAAGGTCAAGATCAACAAGATTTACACGGTTCCGCAGTTCGCCGAGAAGCTCATGGACGTGCAGCAGGTCAGGAGGGGACCGGTCAGATCGGGTCAGGAGGGATAGCTTTGATCAGTTTGGGTAAATATAGGACAGATCAGGGCTGGCTGAGGGTGGGCCATCAGTAGGGTTGAAATGGCTGGCAGTCATCTCTCCCTTTCTAATTATTTAGCACAGACTTTTGTAAATATATGTCTTTAAATTATGTATAAGCGTGCGCAATATGAACAACTGCACCTCAAACCCTGCAGATCCCCGGCCTGGACGCCAAGTTCGCCTGCCGCGTCACCGCTCTCCCCAAACCAGAGGTGCAGTGGCTCTTCAACGACCAGCCGCTCAAGTCTTCCAAAAAGCACAAGATTCGCCGCGAGGAGGACGCTTGCACGCTCTCTGTGCGCGAGTGCGCCGAGGGAGACGCTGGCACCTACACCTGCCGCGCCACCAACAGCGAGGGTACCGTCTCCTCCAGCGCCGACCTCCGGGTGGTCGACAAACTGTGAGTGAGATGAGGACAACCGGAAGGAAGGCAAGGGAGCCAGCGATAGGAAAACGGAATGTTGTGAATTGCGGAGGGATCAAGGATGAAATCGCGGGCGGGTTCGGTCCAGGGAGCGGGTAAAGATCGTAAACATGCACGAACGCGGTCGCATTGGTGGTAAATCTCCCATCAGACACCATTTCACTACCATTTCCGGATCGTTTGATGAATTCAACAAACACGACGAAAACAAACAAACATCCCGACAGGTCGAATGATTTCCTTGGCAGGCAGACGTAAATTAACCGGCCGTTTTATCTACCGCATCTCCCGCCCGTCTAACCCGGCGATTGCTCTGCCATCTAGGGACCGGAAGCCGAAACTGGAGGCGCCGCTCTTCCTGAAGTCCATCGGCGACTGCGAGGTGTTTCCCGGCATGCAGGCACGCTTCACGGGCTGTGTGGCCGGAAACCCGGAGCCGGAGTGCGAGTGGTACAGGAACGACGTGCGCATCTACCCCAGGTGGGTCTCGGTGAGGGGCAGTCGAAATAAATGTGTTACAGGTAAAGATCAGATAAATGAAATGATAGTGGCAAGGACAGAGCGGATGTAATGACTGAGCAAAGACATTGCTAGGCCCCTGACAGTGTTTTAAAAGTGACCTATCCTGACCTCACGTAGAAACACTAGCCGGGGCGGTGACCTGACCTGACCTGGCTAGCCCGTCACTGACCGTATCGTTGTTGACAACAACGGCCCCGGCCTGGTGCGATGCTCTGACCTGACCTGCCCCACCCCTCAGTGACCGTATTGTGGTCGAGAACGACGGCTCCGGCCTGGTGCGTCTCACGCTGCGGACCGTGGATGAGACGGACGCCGGCCGGTATCGTCTGAGGATCCGCAACAGCGAGGGCGAGGCTGCCTGCGAGGCCGACCTCACCTACGACTGTACGTAAAACAATGTGGGACAGGAGGGGGAGGTTCGAAGGGACATGCTCACTGCATGCGGTCTTATGGGACTGCCAGTCGTCTCGTCTGGCTGTGTGAAGTATGACAAATCGGCTGAAACGTTTAGTGAATATTTTAACTTCATTTAGTTAGTTTTGCTCAAATGTGGTCCTGACGTCATGCCCGTTTGTGTTCAGCGTTTGAGAACACGCCCACCAAGCCGCTGAAGGACCAGTACCAGACGCTGGAGAGGCAGCTCAAGTCGGGCATCCCCATGCCGCTGGCCGACCCGCCCATCGTCTCCAGGTGAGAACTTCATCGATCGATCTAAACGCTCCCCTTTCTCAAATCTCAAGAATCGATGCTTCGTACTCCACCTGATAAACTTGAGAGCGGCCTCAAGCAGTAGCGGCGGAACACCCTCAATTAAGGTGGGGGGGGGGGGGACACTGCCGACTTTTGGTCTTTCCATGCAACGCCCATAGGGCTAATGTTAAAATGCCAAAATCAAAGGGGGCACGGTGCCCCGGTGCCCTCCCCGTTCCGCCGCCTATGGCCTCAAGGGTTGTGCATGTCGAACATAGCTTCACCGAGTTTGGTCCAAGGCAGTATATTAGGTTTGGTCGTGCACGGTTGTTCATTGTCGGTTGCCGTTGACAGGATGTCGGACCGTCAGCTGACGTTGTCATGGAAACCGTCGCCGGCCGCCGGCCAGCACATCCCACCCACCTACACCGTCGAGATGGCCAAAATGCCAGAGGGAGGCTTCGCCGTCGTCCACACTGGTATGTGCTCAGAGTTCAGCCTGTTGTCACAACTAACGAAACCCAGTCAAGCTCAGTTCATGCATGATCCTCGTCATTCAGCAGAGCTTGCTAAGAATCAATAGTTTCGGTTTTTATATTACATACCACCTTGTCAATGAGGCACAGGTTCACGGCAGCCTTTACCTACTACCCAACCAATATTCAAACTACACCAATAACAACCAATGACGACCTGCAACCCTCACACCATTCCCACCCACAGGTGTTCGTGGCTGCTCGGTGGAGATCAAGCGCCTGGAGCCGCAGTGTGATTACAAGTTCCGAGTGATTGTCGAGAACAAGCACGGAGCCAGCGAGCCGTCCCCGCACACCGTGGCGCACAGGTCTGCTTAGGGAACGCGGAGGGGTCGATACCTGAGGACAGATCGCTATGGGTTCTCACCAGTCCATGAGGGTGTGGAATTAAGGAACACAGAAGCATAGAATCAACAGACAGGAGCACCAAAGACCCATGAGCTTGAGTTGCTGTTAGAAGATTCCTGAGGTAAAGCCTCGACGTCAGAGTATATGGGTGCTATATTGCATAAAACATTTGTGAGTGTGACGTGTGCTCCATTTTACCACACATTTAATCAACCTCTTTCTCACTCGATTCAACTGCATCTGTCTCCCCCCCCCCCCTCCCCAGGGTTGGTCTGGTACCGTCCCCACCACCGGAGAACCCGACTCTGCCCGACGGAGACACCTTCAGGGCGGACAGCTCACCTCTCTTCCCGCGCGGCTTCGACATGGAGAAGCATACCAACGGCAAAGGGCACCCGCCCACGTGAGTTGGACGGGATTCTGAGCGAGCTATCGCCAATGGTGGTAGTGGGCGGAATGATGGGTGGTGGGGTTTGGTAGCTTTGGCAGTTTGTAGTTGCTTGCGCTATTCGTCGTATAGAAAGCATTTATCTAGCAATCAGTACGTTCAGTTTTCTGCAAATCAGACTTCCGGGACCAAGAAATTCCTAAGTGACTTTGAAATCAATGATGTGATCGTTCACAGACACAAACACTATAAGCGATCTGTCATGCGGTTTCTGTGCAACATTATCCATGATCATATAAGCTGCATTGTCCCCTGTGTTGTTAAGCTGTTTTGTCTCATGAGCACCCGTAGACCTCTCACAGCTGTAGCCCCTGCCGCTCGCGCCGCGGCCCTGCCACCCTAGCCGACCCCTCCGTCCGTCTCCGTCACCGCTCTGACCCCCCGGCGATCACCGCAGTAACGGCACGTCGCACGACGACGAGTCGTGGCGCTACGACCGGTTCGACCCGGACGCGCACACGGCCCGCCTGGCGTCGCAGAGGCTCGTGCCGCCGTTCCCTGCCGAGTATCACCCGCCGGCCGTGGTGCCCCAGTCGTCTGAGCCGCGTCCGCCGCGCCCGCGCGACGCCCAGCCGCCGTCGGCGCGACTCCGACCGCTCACGGATGATGTGGACGGGTATGTGCCGCCGTCGGGAGGCCGCCCGCGGCGCGTCGCACACGGAGAGGAGTGGGAGACGAAACGAGGATCCAACATCGTAGAGCGACTCCTGGTGAGGAAACAGATGGAGGAGGCCGGCAAGAGCTTCAAACGGGCGGCCGGTCTGGAGACCCGCAACATGGCGAGGTTCCTGAAGCCGCGAGCGAGCGAGCGAGCTAGCGAGAGGCGGTGGGAAGATGACGATGATCGCGAAACGACGCGATCGACTGTCGGCAGCGTGCGACCCACGCGCAACTTCATACCGTCGCGCACGGCGGCAGAGATCGTCGGCAGTGACGACGACGACCTGGACGCGCCGGCGACGACGCTCTACACCCGCCCGAGTCACCACAGCCGCGCGACCTCCGTACTGGACGAGGACTTCGACTCTCCGCCTTCCTACAGCCGCGGTCTGGGCTCCAGCAGACACGCGCGCGCCTCCTCCATCCTCGACGACGACGACGATGATGACCTGGACATTCTGACGCGTCGACGACAGGCGCCCCACCACGCGCGCACTGCCTCGCTGCTGGCTGCCGCCGCCGACAGCGACGAAGAGGACATGACGCCGTACCTGCGCCGGCCTCCACGCCTGCTCGGCACCCGCGACTGGTCCGCCACACCGGCGCGATCCGTGCGCGCCACCCGGTCACCGGTCAGCAGCCGCGACCGTGAGTACCAGGAGCGGCGCGAGCGTCACCAGGAGCTGCTCAACAGCCGTAACCGCGACCTGTCCGCCGTGCCGACCGTCACCCCTGACTGGCAGGGCGAGCTGGAGCGACACCTGCGCGGCCGCGGCCTCTCCAACAGGGAAAGCAAGGCAGCGCCGGTCGCGCCGGCAGCCCGCGAGGGCCGCGCGCTGGACTCGTCTTCCGTGCGGGATTGGGAGAGCCGGTTTGGGGCTGACGTGTGACGAGACAGCGGTCAGGAGAGCCCCCCGGGGGCCTGAGAACTCTGAGAGACTGAGAGACTGCGCGCCGGACGCCGCCCGCGAGGCGCAGTAGATATGCGGGATGTGTGAGTGTGTGTAAGCTGTTTGACGCGATGCCGCTCCGCAGAGGTAACGTCAGGCGGGACGTCACGTGTCTGCAATGACGTCAGGCTGTCTGTGACATCATCGTTTGTGACGTCATGGCCGTCGCGATGAGTGTAAGCGTCTCGCCCTGCCTTCTGCTTGTGTTCAGCTCCCGCGCGGCACGGTGCACGTGCCAGCCTCAATCGAGGCTCTGTTACGTCAATTGGTCAGGCGTTAGACTGACTTTTTATCGCGTGATGCGTACCTTCACTAATATTCTTGAGTCACTTAACACCAACTGTAGTCAAAGAATAAACTCCCATGCTCAATCGTGTCTGTCAGTCGCGATAAAACGTTGAACGAGCATCGAAAGTTTCCGCAGAGCGTTTAACGTCACGAGCAACCCTGAACGACTCACGCGCACCCTGATCGGGGAAACGAACACACAAGCAGAAGGTACGGGCACGTCTCGATCTAGGCAGATTGCATTTGTTTTCGGCTGCTTGTGTGATCTAAAACTCGTTCGCTTTGGCCGCTCGGTTAATGTTTGTACTTGCTAATGCTGCTTAACTATGGAGCTTAATTCTCAGGTGCGGCAGCAAGCTCATACGCACGCGCGTGCTAAACGGAATTAAGCGTTCACTTCCATTTTCCAATCTCTAACATAGCTTTCAGTCGTCCTCCGCTTCCATAGAGTAGAAGCCATTGCAGCAGCATTGTTCATGCTCATATTGATTCGCCACAAACTAGCCTGCACCTTACAGCGCACCTTAGATAGGTAGTTTCACAAAAATTAGCAAATTTCAAGCAGCTTTAACGTAGTCATTACTTAGTAAAAACTGCCCGTACAAACACGCGAAATTCGCGCCCACAATCCACAACACACGATCTACACATCACGTTGGGGATCTCACATCTTCCACAAGATAAGAATGCGGATGCAACCCGAACCGGCAACGACTGACGTCAGGAGAGTTTACATCAGTGATGGCAGTCACCACACGTCACTGATGGACATCACCACACGTCACTGACAGCCGTCATCAGACACTGCTGCGCCCCGTCGCCGACATCATTAGAGGACCAGAGCTCAATCGCCGCCCGCTGCCAGTCCGCTGCTGACAGCTTCCTCAATTAGGGTACCGAGGACCGCTGCCAAACCGCAGGACCGCCGCCGCATTAGTGTCACAATCAATTACGCTTGCTGCAACTCAGTTCCTGGTCGGAAAGATTGGGATCACGTGAGGTTGGGATCTCGGCGAGTGATTCTAAAACATTAGAATCAATAGATCCTGGGATCACGGGAAGCTAGGAGCACGGGAGTAGGGACCACGGCGCTACTGAAATCAATAGAGACTACGATCACGAGGGACTGGAATCACACAGGGATGTGATCACGAGAGATGGGGTTCATGGAAATGACCATCACGTTCATGCAATTTTAGGATTACCGGCATTAGAATCCCGCCGATGATAACGGCAGACAGAGTGAACAGTTTAGCGGGAAGGGAAGGTAGAATGCACTAGTATATTGACCAGGATCGGAAGAGGAATGCATGAAAAACAAGTTCCCACTAATTAGCTCACAGCGGGGACGAGCGTCTAAGAAGAATATGATCCATGAAAAAGTTAGGAATGTAGTCATTAGGGTACGTATTCATCATTAAATTAGATAAAAGTTTGACGTTACTTGCAAATAATAGATATAGGTAGTAAACAGATGTTATGGCAACAAATACTATAGTACAGCTAAGTCACCACTTTTAGCGCTCTTTAGAGTCGACAGACACTATGTCACGTTCATTGTTCATTGATACCTAATCGCCTTCATTAGTTCACTGTGTCGGTTGTCACAATTCGCGGATGGGCAGGGCACAAAACAGCGGAGTAGGGCACTCAGGGCTTCCTAACGCGCCATCGTATGTTCTGCCGTTTGTGACGAATCATCTCCTGTGTTTCTCTGTTGCGTTTATTCTAAAAACTCGTCTTCTTTCGTCTATATTTATTGCTTCCGCTAAATATGTCAAATGTGTTAAACTGCACGCCATTTAAAAACGCCAGTCAACGGTGTCTTAAATAGAACGCATTGAAATCAACGTCTTATTGCCTCTATTATTCTTACTTTTATGTCGTTCTGTTCCGTTGTACTGACAAGGTCCATAGCCCAGCCCAGAATGGAACGGTGATACAGCATGTCTTATCAACAACATAATCAGCCAAATGTCATGTGTGCGGATTACAGTGTGCAGAATAACTCCTCACCCCGAGAAAAGTCGTGATAATGAAATATCACTGCATCATTTGTTCTTGACTTTAAATCGTCTAAGAAGTTTTCAAAAACTCAACCGATACATAGGGGAGAGCGGGGCCAGTTGAACCACTTTTTATATATTGACACTAGAGGGACAGCATTACGCGCAGCGTAAATAAATCAATTTTGATTAAAGGTAGTGTGCCACCTTTGAATGATTTCCCATTTTATTTTTCCTAGGATAAGAAGTTTCTGGTTTCACCTAATATCGCAAAAAACTAAAAAATGGGCCTAAAATAGTGCTTTTTTCGCCTAAAAGTTTATCGGTTTTTCGATATGTATAACAACTGTAGTGGGCTGACCTGCAAACAGGCGTCGGCAGCAATCGCGAATGCGGCGCACATGTGACAATAAGCAAAGGTCATTATAGAGTTACGACGTACGGGAATGAGTTATCAGCTGTCTAATCGTAGACAACACAATGTCGAATTTAAACTGTAAGCCTGTATTGGTACTGTTTCTTTAATTAGGCTGTCGAACATTAATTTATGGTTGGAAATAGTATTTTATGTAAAATAATTGATATGAAACAGCCGTCTCTAAAGTTTGACCCCATCTCACCACATGAAAGTGGCAGAAATGACAATGATCAGCTGACGCATTTTTCTTGGCCGAAGTCAGAGCGCGCGGCCCGACGCACCACCACCGCGCCCAAAGCCAGGGCCCCGGTAACGTGAGGTAGCCGAGTCGGGGCAGCGTGCGCTGACCCAAGCCGGGGCCGCGGCTTTGGGCGCGGTCTACCGCATCCCCGCGGGCAGCCCCGGGCTATCACATGACACCGGGAGGACGCGCGGCCCCGGCTTGGGTCAGCGCACGCTGCCCCGACTCGGCTACCTCACGTTACCGGGGCCCTGGCTTTGGGCGCGGTCTACCGCACCACTGGCGGATCCAGGGGTTCAGCGCGGGGGGGGCATACCAGATCACGGAGCCAAACCTAGGGTACCCCCAAATCCTGTTTTCTCATCGGATTTAGGCCACTTATTTTTCGTCAT